AGGGGGGGGCAAAGGACAAATTGACTGATTTCAACTCTTATACCAGCCTTTTGGTTTCCGCTGATTGCGCACAGTTGGGCCACTTATCTGGTGGCAATATCGCCGGACAACTCATTGCCACATTGTAGGTGAGAAAAGGCAATTCATCAACTTCAAAGCTCCAAGTTTAACTTAACGACAGCTCTGTTCCAGCGAGTCAGAGTCACGTTCAGCAGCCTCGCTTCGACGTTCACCCGAAATGCACCAAATTCAACATCAAGACTGTGGATGACGAGAGCAGCCAGGTGGGAAAAAAAGGCGACACGAAAACAAAGAAAATTGGGGATTTATTTTTTTTTTTTTGCACTAAAAACCTTCGACTCGTATCGAAATGTGCAGAGAAATCTGTCTTTTAACTGTTTTTTTTTGTTGTTTTTAGCGAAGCAACAATTAATTTCCTTAAACGTATTGACTGCTGCCACATTGGTTTCAGGTTCTAAACGTTCACCAGGAGCCGCTATTTTTCAATTAAACGAAGTTTTAGTGTCTTACCTGAGATCTCCGTAACGTCCCTGGAAGAACAAATCTGCATAAATGACCCGGTAGGTAACAGGCTTTGGGAGCGCGTGTTGAGGTCCCCGCGCGCGCTGCTGCTGCTCCAAAGTGAAGATGCTCCTCCTCCACCTCTCTCACGCGCCTACCCGCGCTCTCAAACACGTTTTTTCATTTTCTTTATTTCCCTTTAACGCTTTCCATATGTGGACTTTACAATGAACCATTAACACTCAAACACAGAGATTAAAATCAGAACAAAATCTTTAATTGTATTGTTTTTTATTGCATGATTTGTAGTAGCTGCAGAGAAACAACGTTCCAGATGAGTACAGTAGGGGTTGAAGGTTTGAAGCCTCCCTGCAGTGAAGAGAGATGGTCAGTGGACATTCAAATGGCACGGCTAAACTTTATTCACCTTCCTCCTTGTCCGTCTACCACAAAACCTGCAGCTGTAACACTGAGGAGACCAGAACCCGCACTTTCAACGTTTCGCCATCAAATATCATCGGCTGTAAGAAAGTGCATGGACTTATCAAATGTACTCCACTGTCTTAAGCGTGCTCATGTCATTCTGTGGCTGCAGCCGCCATTGCGGGGTAATAATATCTCATGAAAGATGGTTGTTATTGCTGGCTACTTCTTTTGTTTGTTTTTACTGTGATTGTTGTCACATTAGGGAGTGAGGCAATAAGAGGATTGAGGTGTGCTTTGGTGTGTAACTGCCTCGAGCAAGCACGCGACAGGTTGTTCTATGTGCAGCTGCTCATCAAGTCGAAATATCAGAATGACTGTCAATCACAAAAAACCGAACGCAGAGATGAAACATCCACAATGCAGTATTCAAGCCCAAACTCTGTGGATTCAGACTCGGAGCAGTGACTCCCTCTACAGGTGAGTTGTTGTACTGCAACGACAGAGGGCGTTTGTTGTATTTGTATTTGTTGATAGTTTATAAAACAAAATAAAATAATCAGCTCCCTTTTAAAGTAAGTAGACCAGCCACATATTAAAACAGAATTCGCACCGTAGGACTTGTAAAATGGTCTCTCAAAGTCTTCAAAGGAACTTGGTCACTCAACTGTCACTGGAAACAAAACAAAAAAACCCAATGAAATAACGAAAGTTGGTAATTTTACTGTACCTGAAAATAACTGTTTGCACCCGACCCTTTCCCGCAACTTCAAATATAGGACTCAAAGATATGGGCTCTAATGTTAATAATACATGTATCCATACTATGTTCATATAATTAATAAAAAAATAAATACATTTAACAAATACAATAATTTTTTTGCAGTGGGTAGATTACCAAAGGAACAGATTACCACCCACAGTTGTATTGTTAACACATTTCTTTTTCAAGTGCAGGATTTCTCAATAAAACCACTATCTCCCCCCTTACTAATTTAAACCTCTTAAAGCCTCTAAACTGGTGTGGCTGTGCTGTTGAGCTGGGTGAGATGTGACTCCCTCCAGTCAGCTATAGGGCTGTGTGTGAGCACCGGCTCACTGAAGGCTCAACGTTAACACTGTAGCACACTCACAGAGAGCAACCGGAAGTAAAAGTAGATGCTGATGATGTATGTTGGCAATGGGACCCGAACGAGCTCCTGGCTTTTTTGGCCAAAGAAGCAGAGGGCACAAAGATGTGCACGTTTACATGTCTTCAATCGGTATATCTTGTAAAAAGGTCATATGAAAACATTTTCTTTTTACTTGTATTTTATAAGTTTTTTGTTTTTTTTTGCTTATGCGTTTTTTTTTGTACAAATGTTCGTACAACCTGTTGAGACATGAAACAGATTAAACCAACAGAAAAATCAACCAACAGAAAAAAAAAAAAAAAATCCCATGCATAAGTTATGTCCCACTCTTACTGATTGCATTTGTAAGTTACCGTCTTATTAAAATCTGTGTACATGTTTGTCTGTTCATCATTTTTGATTTTGTACATTTTCAGCCTTTTTTTCTTCTTTTTTTTTTTTAAGGGGGGGGGGGTGGGGGAGTACAATTTCTCATCCTATTTTCCAGCAGGTGGTTCCAGGTATTGCTGCAGAGTAGATTCCAGACACCGGACCCGTCTCTTCCTGTACAGCAGGAGGCGCAAGAGGCGTGTTGTGTAGATGCTGGCTGCAGGAAGGAACACCACTCTATAAAATAAGCTATCAGGAAGCAAATGAGCTTTTATCCATTGTGATTTCAGTTCAAGTTCAAGAAATTAAACCCCATTTCCTATAACAAGTCTTTTTTTTGTTCATTTTTTTTTTCCTGCTAGAAATTGTTGCTTAGTCACCCCGAAAAGCTTGACAGAGAGACAGATACTGTAGCTGTCTGAATACTTCTAAAAACCTCCCGAGGCTGGAGTCTGGCAGCAGAAGTGGGACAGGAGAGTCAGTCAGTAGCAGACGGGAAGAGGGTGACGGGGTGACGGGGGTGACGGGGGCACAGGCGAGATCACCCCTATCTGCAGAGGTCTTCTTGTGTAGAGTCTCGCACATTTTTCCTCTTCTTGCTGTTGCCCTGGTGGTGTGGCTTGTTGCTCTGATGACTTTTGGTGGTAGAGGAGGAGCTTTGCTGCCCCTGGTGGCCGCTCTTATGGTTAGAACGAGACACCCTGGCCTGGGGAGAGAACACGCAGATAAAAGTTCAGAGTTCACGCGGGACGTCCCATGGGAACACTTCTATATGATGTGTTCAGTTATTCGTGGATCATGTGCATGTGTATGTAAAAAGGTAAAACGTAGTCCAACCTTGCCACCCTTGTTGCTCCCAGACGGAGTGCTGTTCGCCTGGCTCTGTGTTCGGTTATTATTGACGACAGTGGACTTCTCTCTGTGGGCGCTGGAGCCCCGGACAGACTGCTGCTTGGCCGTCTTACACGGCGTGCCATCAGAGTCCTGAAGGAAACCAGCAAAAGAACAAATAGTACGTCATGAACATGTTGTCACCATGAAGTTTTACTTATGAAGCACAATATTTGAAGGCTGTGTGTGTGTGTGTGTGTGTGTGTGTGTGTGTGTGTAGCTGCTAGACTGACCGCATCGCTGGAGCTGGAGGTTGAGGTCGTGGAGGAAGGCGACAGTGGAGAGGAGGAGGGAAAGGACCGCAGTGAGGGCGACGGAGAGGAGGAATTGGAGGTTTTTACTACAACACCATCGTCGTCGTCATCTGGAATGTTGTTGTTGCACTCATCGAGCTGCTGGGACTCGAACAGTGTGACGTCATTTCCTGTTGAAACGGAGAAAGGAAAAATGTAGACACGAAGATCGACTCAGTCCAAAGTTAAGCTTACAGACCAGGAACTGCAGATCTTGACCTATCCTCAAGATGTGAGTCAAAATGTAGTTTCAAGAGGACTTCAAATATTCTAGACATTAAAGAAAATTGTGAAATACCGAACGTACTGTTGAGTGGCAGATCATTCTGAGACTGGCTCCCCCAGTTCTTTCTGATCCATTCCCTGTACTCATCCACTTCCTGTGTTACCCGGATTATTCGGCCAAGTACGCTGTGATGGGAAAGAGAGTATTCCTGTTACACCAGTGTTTACTCAGCTGTCTGGATAAACAAATGTTGCTCATAATGACCTCGTAGTTTCAGTATGATGAAATAAGGCCAACAAGAACAACTGAAAATACTCAAATTTGATGATTGACAACAAGAAAGAGAATTGACAGAACATGACTGAATATTGCAACAATAAACTGATCAACCAACCAACCAATCCAAATCTTACCTCTCGGTCTCGTTATTGGGATAGTACTTGGCGATGGGCGACACGGCGTGGCTGAGCACCACGTAGGCGTAGTCAAACGCCTGCTTCACCTGCATGGCACCGTATGAACTCCGACCGACATCGTTATCTGGCGGAGGCAAGGCAGACGGTCGTTTTGTGTTAATACTAGAAGCCGACGGACGTGGCAAATACGCGGCATTCCCTTTATCCTTTGTGTTCAGTGTTCCTACCGGGCTGCAGCGGGTCCTCGATGTAGAGCATGGAGGGCCGGTAGCCGTCCATCATGTTCTTCTGAACCTCGTCTTTGGCAATGTAGCAGCCTCCATCTTTTATCCTGATGCCCGTTTTCAGGTAGTTGAAGTGGCGGCCGTATAGCTCGAAGAATTCAATGAGCAGAACGCCGATGTTGATGTTGGGGCTGCACACATCCTCCCTGTAGTGAAGCTGGAAAACACACAGTGCACGTAGAGTTATTGAGAATGATTATGGGAGTTTAACGAGTCACTTTTGCTGAGATAGCGTCTTTACAATGTTTGCTCTAAATACTGCATATAGTGCCGTCTCAGACTGTTTTTTTTTGTACAGAATTGTAGATATTTTTGTAACTCGGTTGGTCAGGAATCACTTGTTGAAAATACTGACCTGCAGGAAGCTGACAGCCATGAGGAAGAGACTGTAGGAGCCAATTCCACCGGTAAAAACCTCATTGAGGTCCCTCTGCAGTAGGAACTGCTTCAGCACCAGGACCAGGTAAGGCAGCACGGGGTATTTCTACAGGACAAGACACAGACAGGGTGAGGATATAGTGAGGATTGTGCCAGTTAGGTCTGTGAGGTAATGAGGGGATTGGTTTGTATGTCTGTGACGGGGCTGGGGGTGTGTGAGGAATTAACATATGATAACCTCCCATGGTAGTGACAGCAGATCGCTACAAGTACAGTCTAAGTCAAGCTGCACAAACAGCCACAACACTGTCCCCAGGCCAGAATACAGGACAGACAGAACTGTACCTCTTTGAATTCCTTGATGAGCCGGGCCGCTTTAACGCCGCTCTTCACATTGAAGCTGATGTCCACTTTGACCTCAGTGAAGGAGTCCGTCAGTTTGATGATGGGAACCTGAAACACACACACACGCACACACGATGCAAATGCTGATCCTGAGGCAGTCGAACAGGAAACGATCACACAATCACTGCAATCAAAGGCTTGGCTCATGACATCGTGCTGTAAGACGCATGCAATCATACACAAATCCACGTTTTCTGATCTAATCCTTCGCTAAACTACTTGAGCAAAGATTTAAAATGCTGAACTGCTTTTAGAATCCCTAACAAAAGTGAGAGGTGAAACACAAACAGAAAAAAGCTTTATTCAAATCCTTTAAGTCCTGAAGTAAAATAAACTCGGATGAAGAAAAAATCAAATCAATGCACGGTTTAAAAATAACTCAAATAATAGGATTTTAGGAGCTAGTTCCAAGCATACTACTCTAGCAATACTGTATCTGTGTCACACGCAACATATGACCTTAATTTGGATGAAATGACAGTGAAACACTTTCCCTTGGACGCACGTGTCTGCACACATGTCTGAATACAAGACATGTGTGTCAACCAGTTTAATCACGGTTTTGGAACCATCAACACTGTTTTTGTGATTTACAGCGTGTGAAACTGACACTAACACCAAAGACATGAACATGACAGTCGGCATCATTCTAATTAATGACTGACAACGACGTACAACTCTACACGTGATGAATGGTTAGCGTCTTACCGTGGCTTTGTCCAATACTTTGATAGAGTTCTCATCCGCGATGTTCCTCTTCCGGAGAGCCTCTTCCAGCGTCCAGAGTGGGAGTGTGTCCCACTTCCCAAAAACTACCAAGTCAATGTCACTGGTGGAAGAGAGACATGACAGGTGTCACTGAGGTCCACTACATTACATACAACTTTAGCTGTACAATAACTCCATTTCTCTCATTTCTTTATGCAAAAGAGCAACGGTAATGTACAAATTTATCTTCCTCTCGCATGACAAAAGGTTTTAGTCTGAAACTTTGTAACGCATCCCTTGACTAACAAATAGAAGCACAGACTACATGACATGTAGTCCTAAATGTACAAGCATGAACAAACACACCAACAGCTGATGAGTCTGAGACTAGCTGTGTGTGACTGTGTAACTTGTGAAATAACACAATACTTCCTCTTACAAACAAAAAGCACACCCTTGCACATTTCAGCCCACTCGGAGGTTTTGCTGCTACGGCCATCACATGGTCTGCTATGACCAGCAGTTTATGGAGGCTAATGCTAGCATACTTCTGGTAAAGAGTGCTGTGTAACCGACATAAGAGTCCGTTTGAAGACTTTATGACTGCCCTCTACTTGTGCTCCGGTTACATTTAGTTTCAGTATTTACTGTTGTACTGTAAGGCAAGACCCCCTTAACTGATAGCTTACTAATACAACTACCCTCCCGTTCAGTGGTTTCTCTGCACTGCATTGTCATAGGTAAACAGAGGCATTATACAATGTTGGTTTTCTTGGGTTGGAGGCTTGGAGCTGATCTTAAATCGAAGGGAACGCTAAAACAGCCATTCTTAAATATCCCCCATATGGTGGCTTACAGCAGGCAGATGGTTTTGCTTCCCCCTTGTGGATGAGCAATGTGCAACTTCAGACAGCTTACAGAAGCCAACCAGTGTGTGTGTGTGTGTGTGTACACTACTTCAGCAGTGTGTTCACTACATACAGAATGTTACACACAAGCATATACTACAAACAAGACACGCACACAAACACACATGCACTAAGTGTAAATGACCTGCACCTTGTGACTTAAATGAGGCAAATACACACTTTTGTTTCCAGAACAACAGAAGCACACCAAAACAGATTCACACACATGCATCCATTAACAGCGTAGTTTCATTTAAGTGCTCAGTGTGAGGTGAAGAGTCCAATGATCCAGGCGACTTGTCTGTGTCCGGCATGCATTTGTTGTGTGTGTGTGTGCGGTTGTGTATTTTTGTGTACGTGTGGTGTGGCTGTGTGTCTGCCGCAAGCCTTTCTCAGAATTAAGTCTTTAACAAAGATCCAGGATCACCAGCGCTAATAAACAGTAAACCACTTGATCCACAAAACAAAAGCAAATCATGACTTGCTGGCTGGATGAAACACTTTATCCATAACGGAGCAAAGTAGCGTTGGTAGGGAGCCAGTTCACAGACATGTTTTGGCAAGCGTGTGTTTAAAAAAGGCTGTTTAGGAAACAAAGTGGCTCACCTTGTTGGCAGATAAAGACCAGTGCTGAAACTCCCAAAGACTTGGACCTGGAGAGATCGGGAACACAGTGACACATGTACACATTGTTGGTTTTGTGGACAATATATTACATTGATTTATGCATCATCCTGCAGATCAAAACATTCTACACCTGAACTATTTTCTATCATCGTGTTTGACAGATTTAATATCTTTTCATCTACACGATGGCACAGGGCTTGCCTGAAATGATTCCACCAAGCTGGAATCAACTTGGCGTCTGATTTCCCCCACGCCAAGCTTCGCTCCTGTAAAAACCTGTTTGCCAAGCTGCATAAATGTCACTATTCTTCAGCTGAACATAATCTTGATTGAATGACAAGCCCAAACAAAGTGCACAGGCGTGGTACTAAAAACTACCTATCAGGGGCAAACGCAAAGAGTGTGTAGTGCGACTACTTTAAACCACTTCAGTTGCATTTCAAGAGGGGGATTAAAGACCAGGGTGGCTTCAATGAAACAAGCAACTCCTCCACTAAATCAGATCAAAACGTGCATGAGGTATACACACAAAACAGTCCTTTTAGCCATTGGTCTCTTAACCTGCACACTATTGAGGCGACTAAAATATCTCCAACATTTTATCCTCAATGCACAAATTGGCGAGTGTACAGAAATAGAGTTAAGCCTTGACCTGACTGTTACTCGCACATCAACCAGTAGTACAAACTCTGCTTTACAGCCCAGTCACATGAGCGGGGCTAAGCCGATTGCAGGGCCATGTTTGTGAATGAGTGTGTAGCCGGTCCTGAAGACGTCTGAGGGGTGGAGGTAACTACAGGTGGTCACCAAGGTGAGCTTTGTTATCTCGACTTCTCCGGTCAAACATTTGCTTACAGCTGACCTAGACTACCTCTCGTCAGGTATATGTGGGAGCTAGAGGTCTACGCATCTAAGTTCATCGATTAAACAGAATCACATTGAGCAGATGACCAAGTTGTCCGTTCCACAGCGGAAAAGGAATAAAACTAGGCAGGCTGGGGACGGCATTGTGCCCCTTCATTTAGGAACAGCTGAGCTCACTTTGAAGCACGCTGCTCTATCAGCAGGATCAGAGTCAGCGTGTAGTAGAATGCCTGAGGGGGCGCTGATAACATGGCCCAGAGTACTGTGCAGCGGGGAGATAACAGAAAACAACAGGATGCTTTATGCCATTAGCTGACTCATATGTTAACCATGTTGCAAATTACAGAGGTCACCGTGTGCAAAAGGAGCCGGTTCACAGGACTAAACAAGAGTAACAAGCACCGTGTTCAGTGTTTATGATTGACCAACTGTTTTCACTGTTACACAACTTCATTTTGTTTCTGCCAAAACGAAATAACCTCTAGTGTTTATGAGTAGCTTTCAGATTACAGCAAAGATTTTCCAGTCAACAGCTGGCAGCAGTTCTCAGCCAGATTATCAGTGTGGCACACTGGAGGATCTGGACCGCCACGCCCTACAATCCAAAACCACCACCAATAAAAATAAATCTCAGTTGTTGGTGTTGGGGGAGGATGTGTACCTCTGCACTGGGCCACAGGTCGTGGATGACTCCCTTGATTCTGTCCACCACCTCCTCTCTCATCTTCTCCTCCTCCGCCCGGGGGGAGACGTAGTCGTAGAAGTCCTTCACCTCCTCGTGTAACCTGTAGATGACAGAACACAGTGTTGAGAGAAGAGCTTGTGGTAATCCTGTGAATTAAATATCCAGAAGAAACATAATTCCCATTTGCATTAGTTGAATTATCGGTCCGATACCAACTCAAATAGCTGGATCGGGTATCAGCGACAATGGGCCAATCTGGTGTTAGATACCATTATTTTAATAAATAACTATTCAGTACATTTACATCTGTGTATTTATTTGTTATATCTTGTTTTACAAAGTCAGGAAACAAATGTTTAAGTCAAGCTTGATGTTGCCTTACACATAAAAGATTGACCCCAATCACTTCCACACAGTGAGGCATACAGTTTATGGGTTCTCGGTCCTTGATATTGGTCGATACAAAGGCCAGGTATCGGTATCGGGACTGAAAACGTTGGATGGGTGCATCCCTAATTTGATCGATTTGAAAAAGTTTGGGGCAAAGAGGGCTGCCAAAAAGTCAACCTTCCCATGGAAGTCATCTCAGTCAGGGCAGGCTAAGCAAGGTCCTAACGCTTCTGTCCTTGGATCAGGTCGCTCTGCCCACGTGCGCTGACCTTTCCACTGACCAGTTTTGTCCACATAAACAGATGCAGGGACAAGGAAGAACACACACATGAAGGCACACACACAAGCATGTACACATGCACATGTGCGCAAACAACCATAAAGACAATAATAGAAACAATCCTCTTGGCAGAGGACAGAGAAAGTGATGTTTCTGCTTTTAAAAATAAAATAAGGCAGCAAAGTAAAGCCTGCGTACACCACAGAAAGTTGGACAAGAAAAACACGAGCAGCTCTTGACACTGACTGACTGCTGTTTGGATAACGCCCCAAAGAGCACCGCATGTGCGTCTAGTTTCTGGGTTTTATGCAACAAGAACACTTCACCTGACAGCAGTCGCAGTTCACTGGGTGTCACCGTTATTATAGATTTTGGGGTTTTAGACACTCGGTCTAGTAGAATCCCAGGATACAGAGGCAGCACTGAAAGGTTGCTGGTCAGCTAACCATGAAGAGAAAATACGTGCACAATTCAACTTTCTTCTCCGGACCCAAACACTATCATTCCTAAAGCCACACTGCTAAGAAGCAACAGTACAGTAGGGCCATGATCAGATGGACAAAAACATTGCATTAAAAACACAAGATGCTACTTTTGTGTGTGCGTACTACTACATGTGAATATGAGATACAAACCAGGACAGCTAGCAAGACTAGAAAAAGTTCTTTGGTATTTGGATCCATTATAATTTGCCTGTATCGTCTCCGATACCAACTCTTCATAATGGATCGGGACATCCCTAAGTTGAAGACTGGCAGTCAAGCCAGAGCCCATTGAAAAGAAAGAAGATACTGTGTGTCTGACGTACTGCTATTGTTGGTATGAATGCGGACTAACTGGCTGCTCATAACACTGAATGTAGTGAATGTAGGTCGTTACTTAAATGCGGATAAACAGAGAGGCTGAACAACCTGAAAGTCCACAACAACACAAGTCCTCTGTGAGTTCTCACACACGTCACACAGACGCAGCCATTTACTGAAATTGTAGTTTAATCTTGAGGCACAAGACTTCTACCATGTTCGTGGTGTGACCGAGCCGGAGCGTTGATGCACCACCCTTTTTTCTTTCTGATAACGGCTTGTTTTCAATTTCATTGTTGTTAAATTTGTTTTCTGTTCGGGAAGTTTCAGTTTACATTTGCTGCACCTCCTCCAACATGGCTGGCAACTGACGAGCAAATTTCAATGACCTAATCTCTTTTCCCTGTGCACATCGCAGAGACTTCCGCTTCCATCACAAACACGTTAGGTTTCATTTTAGGATAAAAGAAACAAGAGCTACAGTCTGCATTACACATACGGCATGAGTTTTGATTTCAGAGAACACAGATCTCATTTAAGTATCATTAAGACACCACAGCCCAAAGACCAACACTAATCCAACTTCATTTAAAGTGCAATTCAACTGAAGGATTGTATAAGGTTGGGGTTAAAATGATTCCATTTAGCTTTAATGTATTTTCATAAACAAAGCTTTAGAGACGGCATTTATCTGCCATGATCTTTTTGGTTTGTTTCTATTAGGGTGCAAAAAAACACACTCTAAAAAACACAACTGGTAAAGTGTGAGCACCAGCAGGTTTCATTTCACAGGAAACCGGCTGCTGCTGGTCCCCCGTCATCACATGTTCGGAGCGATCGTAGAAATCACATCTCATGCCCCCACCTCGCTGGATCGAGTTTCCTCTCAGCCCTACGCCTGCTTAGGGAGCACATGGACGTAAATCCCACTTGCCTATATCGTAATATTATGTAACCTCAAGGAACAGATTTCCAGAGCTGAAGGGAAAAAATGTTCTCTCACCTCCTTAGCATTTAGCAGAATGATAGCAGGGAAATGAGATGAAGGGCTGCAACGGAGGATAAAAACGAGCGCACACACCAAGTGTCGTGGCTCGAAGGACTTGTGGAATTGTGCTTCTTTGTTTTTTTAATGTTCACACCTGCAACGATTTAAGACTTCAAAAACAATTCATAACTGAGAAATGAGCTCACGATTCAGGGCAATTTGCAAAATCGCTCAATGCTCATAGACAATTCCTTATTACACCTTTCTTTCTTTTCTTTCCCTTGATTCGTTTCCGATTATGTTGCAACGCATATGCAAATAATAATTTCAGACTAAACAAACAAACAAAGATAAGCACGCCTGACCTTGGTCTTAGGCCGGACTTGGCACATGTATGTATTGGATCCAGTAATGGGAAAGATAACGTGGGATCAGTGCATCCCTAAGCTACTGCAATCCTCATTTGCAAATCTACACATATCGTGTTTTTGTGTTATGAAATATTGCGTCACAATGAGCTACAGTAGACCCTCGACATTCCTACCTCTCCATGAACGCACTGCAACACCTCGTCAGAGAAATATAACTTGGACTTTACGCAGCTAAAAGAACCAGGAGGAATGGAAGGGAAAGAGAAACCTGAGAGCACAAAGGTAAAAATAGCGAAAGGAATGAGCGAAAGTTATTAAAAAGAAATGAAAGAAGAAAAGGTAGAGGGCCAGAAACACCCAGAAGGTGGAACAAAAACATGAAGAGGGAGGGAGGATTGGGTGTGGTGCTGAAATGCCTTCATGTGAACAAGAGCCATCTGTTAAGTTGGGTAGGATGAAGGAAAAAGAGGTTATTGTCACATCACACTGAGCACTACTTACTGGCATATCTTTAGAATTGAATACTCAATACCAGGCATGCTGGGACACAAACACCTGCATGAAGCATGATTGTTGATTGGTAAAATACAGTGAACAGCGTTCCAGTGTTATGGCATTAGATCAGGTTAGTTATTGCTCAAAGAGTTGTGGCCATATTGTCCCAGAAAGCATCCCAACAGCATGACCATTTTTGTCTTTGCAAGGGTTGAAATTTTGGCTCAGGACAATTTTTGCAACACAAGAGGGTAGTGCGTTTGTGTGTGTGTGTCATGTGACACTGCTGTGTCTACGTTGACAGGGTTACCAGGAGGCAAAATACGTCGCATCCCACACTGTTTCTTTCAAAATGAGGACAACCTCAAACTGAGGCAGAGGTGTCGATGTCTCGAAGACGGCAGATTCATTAATGTTTCATCAATGAACTGATCCGGGGTGCTAAGTGTTGGCCACTGGGACAAAAACGGCTCGTTACCCAGAAGCCCAAACACTGCTGGCTGCTAGTGGTGGGCTTGAGTACTGTGGTCAAAACAGGAATGGTTGGACTGTAAATACGGTAATACCAGCGCCAAATTGTTTGTTACACCAGAAGACTGTCAATCATCTGTTGATTGTCTGCGCTTTCCAGAAACATCAACTGATCTGGTGCCTGTGTAGGAACTAGGTCGGTCGCTTTATACACAACATCGAGCCAAGTTCGTTAGCTTCAATGTAGTAGCTACTCTTTTTCTTCCCGTCTGTTATCGTAGCATGTTAAAATGAAAGCTGTAACATTTTGGTACCAAAACACCTACACTGAAAATGTGATTTTAAAAGCAAGTATCACAAAAAAAAGATAGGAAGGGAAGGAAATTATTAACTTAGGCCACGATAAAAGGAAATTGTCAAAGCCCAGCCGTTCTGTACACATGCTGAGAAGGTCACAGTTTGACCACACGCGATGAAAAGAAAAAGAGACCGCAGAACACCGCGTGTCGCTCACTGGCTGCATCAGTCTGGAGCACGGGAAGGCTTTCCATTGGACAGGAAGAAACACATTCCTCGCTACACTTGGGAAGGCCGAGTTATGGTGAGCTGCCCACACGGGCCGTTCAGACGGAGGCCCGTTTCACCTACAGTCCAAATGGCCAAGCATGCAGGCTTCTCTCTCCACACATTCTTACACGCTTTGGCCGAGAGCCAGCCAGCTAGCTAAGAGAGGAGAGCGTGACATAGATGTCAAAGCTAGCAGAGGCTGGAACCACAGTTCTAATAATGGAGCTTCAGTCACAGAGGTGCTATCCGTGTGCTGGGAATCATAAATCTCCAAAAGACAGCGGCAATAAAAAGGCAATAAATGGCATGAGCCAGGGCTACTCATCAGCGAGCGATTAACCGCACTTTTCATTAGCCTGCAAGTGATGTTGTGCCTCAACGCTTGGAACTGGCTGCCAACACCAGGCCCCTCTAAAATTAATCAAGTGTAGGCTGCTCTGTCATTACTACCATTTTGGGGCCACAGGAGCAAATTGTGTCGCATGAATAAGACATCCAACACAAGTGAGGATGTGAGGTTACAACAAAGATGTCATAAGGAAAAGAGCACACACACACACACACACAAGATCTACATTCGAACAGTAAAGCCCAAATATAAAAGATATAGCCCGTAAGAAATCATTTGCGGGTAAACTAGTAACTAAACAACATTATTCAGCTAGAACTGAAGAAGCCATTGACCTGGTAATCTAGACACAACCAAATATGTACTGTACATGACCCAGGTGTGCTGACAATATACATTTCCCTCACCATAACCCCAATGATAACCAACACAGCGTGAAGATAAGACATTTAGAAAACAGAAATGGGCCACAGCTCTCCCAGGCTACACCGACTTCCTGTGCCCTTATAAAGAGTCTGAATGACCAGAAAATGAGGTGAAAACACTCCCTTAGAACTGCCAATCTGATTGGACCGACACTCAAGAGGGCTTGGGTTTCTTTCTGGGAGGGTTGGCTTTGTTTTGTGGAAGTGAGGCCGTGTGCAGCATGTAAACACTGGTCCTTTTCCATCGGGAGGCGGGCCGCTTGCTCTGCCCCTCAAAGACTGGAGCGTAAAACACAAATAAGCACATGCCTCTGTGGCCCCCATTGCCAAATATAGTGTACAAACTGCCTCATGAGTAAAATGCATTTGAACATACTCCCACTTTCACCCATTTGTCTACTTGCACATATTCAAATCAAACCATGAATCCCACTGCTCCCTAAACCGTTTAACCCTGACTGAACGGTCAGCGAAAGTGTTATAAAATGTGTATTTTTAAGAAAGAGTCAATCACACATGGGAAGGAAGCAATGTGGCCACAAGGGGCGTTGCAAATTTGACAAAACCCTGGTGCCCATCAACAACATGCTACCACCAATGATGACAAGGCTAAATATGGTAAAGGAGTACAAGTCTTGTGTTGTAAATACGCCAACAACCGTGGAACAGCATCTATATTACTCTACACATCCCACATCAAGGCTGCATCTCCCAAGCAACAAAACATGTATTATGAGTGAAGACTTAACCATGGAATTAACATAACCTACCAGCCAGGAGCTCTTACATCCACATAAACACTGTGTGCGTTTCGAAATACAGTTTGTGTAATGCCATAGAGCACAGTGGCATTGTGAATTAACAAGAGTGTGGTGGGACAGAGAGCCCTCAGTGGTGGTTAGTGTGATCAAGGCTCTGAGGTTCAGGTTCTGGTATTAGCAGAGCTAATCACTAAGGAATGTCCTTAAGCAAACACAGAGCTTCCATATTACTATAAATGAGGATCAGCCAAACGCTGCTCTGCATGTCTACACACGTCGAACAGAGAAGGGGCCAAACTCTGCACCTAAAAGGTCTTCAAACAGAGCCCAGCCCATCAAAATACTTCTCCAGAGTCATAATATCTAAAAGAACCACTGGTGAGGAAAGCAGGTCACTGACATAGTTATAAGTTACTAGGTGTATTTATTATAGTGTGACTTAATACTGTTAAAGGACCCGCTCTGGTACGAATGCAAATAGATTGCCGTTTTCTCAGTGATGAGCAGCTGTGATCAGCTGAAATTCAGTTACAATTTATTCAATAATGACAACTTTTCATCGTTTAATAAGTCTCAAGACATTAAAATCACTCATGCAGCATGATTCACATTTTATCAGTCTATCAGTATGCTCGTTATGCTCCAAATCCTCATTTTGTCTCTGTATTCACCCGTCACGCCCCAAATATTGCAATTTCAAAAGAAAGCTGTGCATTCAGCTATATTTTGACAACACTGAGCGATTTGACACGTTTCTGTAAACATAGTTTGACCATTTTTCCAATACGATCACTGGTCACCATTGAAATGCAGTATTGCCAACTGAGATGACCACAACTGCTGTTCCTCGCTGACGACTCAACTACATTTTATAGTCATTACGAACGCAAATCAATCTATCCATGTTGAATGATTCAAAAGAAGTTTGCCGGAACAATCACTCTGCCCTGTCATTAAGGCACGCTAATTGTTAAAGCTTCTCTGTGGGCGTGTGTGCACCGCCTGCAACAGGTATTGTGTACATACTAGCATGCATACTAATGCGATCTGAAACCGTAGCGGGTGCTGTGGCCAAATCTAGAAGAAAAATGTGGAAACAAAGAAAGCCGGAAACGCTGTGCATAAAGGTATGCTGCCTGTGGCCAAATCTCAATGTCCATTCACGCACTCACAAAGTCTGTGGGGGCTTCGGACTGTCCAATTGTCAGATCCAGGAGTGCTTGAAGGCTCCATCGCAGACATTTTCATCTATACACCCGGAGACTTCAGTTAAGTCCCCTAAGGTCTGGGGGG